TTCTAAATATTTAATTACGGTATTGGAACTGACATGTAACTTTTTGGGGTAATAAGGAGGACTTATGTGTCTATCATAAATGAAACCTTCCCTATCTATATTCTCGCCTCGATACACCAAACTCCTGCTTTGGTGTATAGAACGTCATGGTAAAGACTCGTAGAGGACTAGGTAATATTAACGAAAGTCGACATCTTGAGCCTAAGCATGTGATACGTTAAGCATCAGTCAGTGCACCTACACCCAAACCTATCACAAAGGAAAAAGTTCAAGCAATAACAGGAACCATGTTAAACTAAGCAAACGGAAGAAATAAGGTGGCTTGCAATAATGAATGATACATATTGGAAGATACCGATGATAAAACTTTTGGTGTAATTCCTGAAGTTGTCACATCGTCTAGCATTTCCACCAACCGAGTTGAAGCAAAATTATTGTTGAAGATACGCATGGAAGAAGTCCTAGTAGAGTCTAGGGAAAATTTTAAGATTGTTTGGACACATTCATATGTGTTAAATCTTTTTGTGATTTTAGGAAATAAGAACTTGGGGATTGCAAGGCAATTCTTGGGACAAGTATGAATAGGTGTGAAAGGTAGTAGAGGCCTCTACTACCAGAAGCATAAGACTCACAGTTGGATCAGGGAAAGTCACAAGATTACTAAGACATTAGTATTTGAGTTTGTTTCGTTTGTTTCCATTATTACCACATTTCGGTAGTGACTATGAGGATGGCTGTTATTCCAACCCTAGTGGTCATATCAAATCGAGTCTGAATTGAGAATAAGTATGTGAAATAAGTTAACTGTTTCAGAGAACCATGTTCGATGTAGTATCCGACTCAAGTCAAGAGGTTAAAGGAAAGGGAAATCAAAGAAATCGACAGAAGTGTCGCGACCATCAGTAAAGGTAAGCAGCCTGTTGCTAGAGTTACTACCTACTATAATGAGATTATATCACATTAGAACATGAAGGAAGGCATCATCCATGTTGAAGTATTACTCAAAAAGACCTGAGTCTAGCCATTGCATCATATGACGAAAGGTCGTTAGATGCGTGAGCCATCAGTTTGTTACAATAGTCGAAGTAAGGACCTTATCGTAAGTTAAGTTTTTGTTAAGAATGAGAAGGAGTCTCCAATAAGGAAGGAGTTTGTAACTAGAAGGTTACGATTCAAAGCCCAACATAGGATAAATAACGGGTGTAAGATTGAGCACCGCCAGTAATCATGAAGTCCTTGAGTTAGATACTCATTTGAAATAACATAAGAGTTACGATTACCACTTATGAAAGAAATGTAACATGCAAAGTCATTATACAAGCCTTGTTTGTTGATGATTCCAGGACATAATCAGCCTAATGGGAGATAATTGTAACACCCGTGAATCTAGGCTAGACGTTTAAGGACTTAGAGTTATAATTATTCATAATTAAAATCCTTAATGATAATTATATAAAAGAATTTATATAATTATAAACGAATAAATAATATTTGAATAAATATTATATTTATATAACATTTTAATCTAAGGGCTTGTTTGATAGACCTTTTATTGGTCCAGCAAGAGGTGAGGTCTGACTTGGTCCGAGTCAGCCTGTTTGATAATGATATTTTGAGCTTCTGACCGAGGAAGAAGAGTCCGACCGAATCAGCCAAATACAATCGCTGATTGAATTAATTTCCACGAAAACCCTCCTTTTCCTGGAACGAACATGCTTTGAGCAACACCCTCCCTTGAACGACATTCTCTTCAGCGACTTCTGCTTCTTTGCTGGCCTATGCATCGCTGGCTTCTGCCTTATCAGAATCAACTTCGCTGGATTTTGCCTCTCCAGCATCGGTTCTTCAAAGCTTTTGATTTCTCCAAGGTTTCTGCTTCTCGCCGCTTCTAATTTCTCCAAGATTTTTGCTTCCCCTCGCTTCTGATTTATGTGGCTTCTATCACCATGTTTGTTTGATTTTTTAGGGTTTGAACCAGAAGTAAGTAGGCAGGAGAACACATAAATCATTGGAGAATTAACATCCTTTGGGGAAAAAATCACAAAGTTGTAGCCTTTGGTGAATTGTAGTGAATATTTAACTCAGAAAAAATCATTGCCCATAGAAATTGTATAGTTTTAGAATTTCAGTTTTCATGTCATTATGTGTATGTAGTTCGGTTTATGAATCTATTGGGTATTTATGCAATTATTTTTTTAAAATAAAGACTAGAAACACGAAAAAATTTAATTTTGAGCTGAAAGTTTTAGCATTTGTATTATGTACATAGAAGACCATTGTGTCTATTGTCAATCTTGATTGCAAACTAGACCTATAGGCATTGTTATTGTTATTATATCTACATCAAAATCAAAAAAATCTTTTGCATTTATAATGAAAGTTTGAAACTTGCAATAATCTCCAAAGTTGAATACTGAATTGTTTCTTGTTTCATCACATAAACTCCAAAATATACAATATTTTTCCAAAAATATGCATTCTTTTACAACTTAATGATGGTATTTTTTTGTTCAAGTATAAAATGGATCATTGTCTTTGTTGGATCAGATGCGATTTTGAGTCATTAGACACAAAGGTTGGTCTAATAAGAACGAAGGGTATTTTGGTCTATTTATTCTGTTGTGGCATCTAATCAATAAAAGGAACATGAAAAAAGATTTGAAACATGTGAGGACTAGTTTTTACTTCGAGTTTTGGATAACACACCATAAAAATTGATCTTTTGGTGTTTGTCAAAAAACTCAAAAATTTTCAAGAGAAAAGGATATTTTCGGCTGATGAATTGAAAATTGCTAGATATGAATAAGAATTTTTTGAAAACAACAAGCTAGAATGAAATTATCATTTTGATATTCATGGTCATATATTGTAATTGTAATTAAGCATATATCTTAAAAGGGAAAAAAAATCACATGTTTAAATGGAGTTGTATATAGAACAGAACGATAAAATGGTCATTTTTTTTTTCATTCAGTCAGTCAGATGCGTAATCAAACAACATGGTGTCATCAGACTTCAGACACAATCAGGCCTCTAACTCAGTCAAATCTGACTTAATTATCAACTATCAGACATCCCCTAAATGTTATAAGTGTGTAAATAATTTTAGAATAAACATTATAGTTTTATAGCATATTTTTATAAAGTTTATAAAAAATATGATTAATATTATGCGAGGACTTATATTATCAAAATAAATATTAAATGTGTATAATATATATTTATAAATATTGTATTTATCAATTCTAATCATAAAATATAAAAATCCAAAGTTCAGGAGCATGAATGTAACTTTGGCAGTTTTGAGAAATCTGTACAAAATTAGTCCTTAAGGCACTTTTTAAGCACTTAATGGACAAAAACCTGAATTAAACTAATTGCTAACATAATTAGGAATATATTTTAAGCCATAACATCAAGATCTTAATGGATTAAGCCATTCTTTTTCCTGTCTTTTTATTAACGTCAGAAATGACCCAAGTGCACCAAAGAATTTTTATAAAATGTTTGGTTAAGAGTTTGCAGCTTAAACTTTATGGAAAACTTATTTATAATATTAGAAACATGTAAAAAATTACAAACCTACAGTTTATAAGATATAAACCACATTTTTGGCTTCTTTTATTTATAAACTCGAATTTGGGGAATGGTGTCTTCTTTGGCTTCTTGTGATTTTTCTAATCAACTTCTTGACTTAAGATCACCTAAAACTCTTTCAATATTTTCCTAAGAGGTTATTCAATGCATTTATAACAAGTTAGGAGGTTGAAATGAAGGATAAAACCAAGAAGAAAGCTTGACTTCCATGCCATGAGCATGTGAAGTAAATTATGAATGGAGAAAAGTCCAAGAGGAGTTGGCTGGAGATTTGACTTTAGGACACCCTATAGACATTAAGTAATGCCTAAATATAATTAATATATACTATGGAAGAGTATATGTGAGTATTAGCTAGTAAAACAAGAGAAATACTCAAACACAAACTCAAGCCCGAGAGCAGATTCTGCAAGTTAGAATAATAGACCAAACTTGAGGTTATAAACACGATTTGTCAGAGAGACTTTACCGTATCATTATTCATATTTAAACCATCATTTATGGAGTTTTTTTCAGCGTTTTGGTTAATGTAAACGCCAAAGAGATGTCCGGAGATATAGGATATCCAAAGAGATGAAAGCAGAAAATAAGAACAAAAAGATAGAAAAGAAGAAGCAAACGCAGTTCTTGAATGCTTGGGTTATGAAGCTTCAAACTTCTGTGATTTTAAAATCATAAGGTATGTTTATGATTAAGATGATATCTTCTTCAATTCTTGTTATTTTGGATACAAGAATCAAGGTTATATCGAAAGTATACTTAATTTCGGTATATAGAAATCATCATAATTCTAAAATCTTCAAAGCTACGTTCTAACTAGCTTTTTTTGTCTTGGACATGTAGAAGACTTCCTTTTTGTTTATAGTTCAAGTATGGAGGTATAATACCTTATGGTAGCTTCATACTTCCTCAAATACTCTCGTATGGCCAAAACCGAAAATATTTCTTACTGAGTTCATATATATAAAATATGTTCTTAATATTCAATAAAACAATCCATGCATGCATGCATCACAAAAAAGACTAAATATAACACTATATACACGAAAACCGTCGTTAAACCCTAAATTGAGAAAAGTGTACATAAAACGTATGATTAGTTGTTTTTATCACTTCAAGTTAGTTTATACAATATTTCTTGTATAAAAATTAAATGGTTTTGGGTTAGGTTAAAATAGTGAAGCTTAAAGTTTCATATTTTGGTTTCGTATGTGTGTTCTTTGGTGTTTTTAGTTTGTGTATAAATTTAATGGTTTGTGTGAGTTATGTAAAAGTGTTTTTTGCATAAAAATGAGTTTCATATGGAAAGAAATTATTACATAAGATTTTATATTCATATAGTGGTGAAACACAACTCAAATAAAAGTATAATATGATTTTTATACTTTATACAACAAATTGCCTATACTTTATGTATATATATCTTGAATATAATTTGTATTATTATTATTTCTATATAGAAATGAGTTTTATACATATTGAAATAATTATATATGAGTTTGGGTTAAAAATAATGAAATAAATAACTTAAAATATGATTTTTATACAAATATGTATTTTTAATACGTATCAGAATACTCTACAAATAAGTTAAGTAATTATGAAAAAAATACATATGTTTATGTAAAATTCAAGTGAATTAAGATGTATAAACATATTATAAAGTTTGGATTCAAATGGAAATATAAAATAACGCAAAAGAGTATTTCTATACAAATATGACTTTTTTAAACGTATCAGAATACTTACAAATGAGCTGAGTATTTATGAAATAAATACATATGTTTTCTGTTAAAATGAAGTGAATACAGATGTATAAACATATTTTAAAGTTTGGGTTCAAATAGAAAAGTAAAATAACCCAAATGAATATTTTTATAAGAATATGAGTTTTTAGATGTATTGTGAATTTTGGACATTCTTAGTGTATAAGTGATTTTAGCATATTTTGGAAATATATATACTTTACGTAAAAGTGAAGTATTTACTTGATAAAAATACTTATATACAATTTGGTATTAATTAAAAATGAATAAAATATAAAAAGTGTATTTAAACATAAAAATATATTTTTGTGTGTTTTAAAAGGTTTTTTGGTGTAATAGTTTTTATATAGCTAGTAAACACTTATATCTAGTGTTGTAAAACTCACCGAGTTGGCCGATTACTCCTCCGAGTACTTGCTACTTGGCCCCTTACCGATTAGAGTTACAAAATCCTTAGTATTTCCCTATCGGCCCCTTACTGAGCAAAGTTGTAAAACTCGGTCAACTCGGTGATAAATTATAAAGTCCAAATAAAATACTTTAACTTACATTAATTTAACTATATAAATTATAAAGTCCAAATAAAATATTCATTTCACTTCCAAATCTAAAACACCATGCACAGATAAACTTACAAACAATAAACGTGAACTTTAAATAATAAATTATGACAAAGTAATATAGAAAAAGATTAGAAAAATCTAATAAAGTCGTAAAAAATATCTTCAATAAAATAAAAAAATATCTTCAACTTAGGTATGAAACCTGTTTAACCTTTTTTCTCTCAATGAACTTGTAGACCTGCAACAAATATAACAAAAAATTTAGATAACTCAAAGAAAGCAAACCAGGAGAATAAGCCAACAAACCACCAGGAGTTGATACAACCAAACTAACACAAGCACATGAGAACACTGGAGAGCAGGAAAGCAACAGAGGCAAAACCAAAATCACCAACAAAAACCACTGCAAAAAAATTCCACAGCTGAAAAAGAGCACGGGGGTAAAAATGTCCAGAATCCCTAAAACATAACAGATCACCAGTAAAACACAACCAAATAATAACAGGAGCGACAAAGAAGTCCAACAAACATAAAACTTACACACACACCCCTAAAAAACCCTCCCACCACAAGAACCACACATCATGATGCATACAGATACGACACTAAGACCCCAAAACAAAGAATCCATCCCCTGCAGAAATATGACAAAGTCAAGGTACAAAAAAGTTCGAGATAGGAGACATATACTATCATAATTAAGATATGGATCAAAATAACTAATTATTAAAGTAAATATGCACAAAAAAATTATTAGTAATAAAATAACTTGCTCTTGAACGACCACCAGACGAAATCATATTTTCTTTAAGCTGACTTGGGAGCTCCCCACTATCCCTACTGATTGATGCTGCCCAAGAACCTGACCACTAATAACAACACAAAAGAATAACAATCCGTGTGAGTCCCTTGTTTTTAATCCCCACCATTCAAATAACATACATATCTTAAGGGACAAAACAAACATATCATAATAAGACATAAGTATATAAATATTAAACATAATTTTTAAATCAAATATATTATACGGGTTGTCAGGTTTACACATGAACCCAAATACTAATCCGAACACGACCCATTTATTTGACGGGTCAACCCAAACCCCTTCATTTACATCTTGTGTTCACCCCTAGATGTTCCTACCACTAAATAGTGAGTAGGGCATGTTTGTCAAAACTAATTGCTAGTTGTGTCATAGCCAAAAGCTGGAACATGGATAACATCTTAACAAAACAAAGTAACAATTAATGTAATGTTATCGATTTATATCTATAGCATTTATGTTAAGAATTCAATAAATACCAACATAAAATGATCCTCAATCAAAATGAGGGAACTTTTCAAAAAATAAAATTAAAAGAATGATAAAGTTTTTACACAACTTACATAAATAACAACAAGCCATGCTACTTGCAAAATAATGTCTCACGTGTTTCATTGAATTGGACAAAAAACTTTTTGAACAAATTAGGACAAAAAACTTTTTGAACAGATTCTGGATAATATAATTAACAATTTGTGTTTGTGAACCCCTAAATCTAATGAATTGGAATTATAATTGTAGCTTGTTAATTCGAGTTTTGCACGGAATTTGATGCGATTTCAGTTGCGAAACTCGAATGTTTCATATCATGATACCGTTTTGAAATTATGCTTGATCAAATTCGTGCCGCAAAAGTCCTTTCCTGTAAGCTCTTGGCCTCTCATCACTTCAGAACCATATGGTCCTCCACCCTTAATAATTACATGTTTGTATCAATCAGAAGTTTAAATCCCAAAACTCAATTTCATGATTTCAAAAAATTATGTCACAGTTAACAGAAGAGATGAACTAACCTTGAATGCAAGAGCAGGATCAGCAGCGAAGAAGAGGGAAGCAGAGACTAAAGCTGTTATGCATACTTTCGACATGGATTCTGCAAAACTGATGGGGGAATCATCAGTGATTTTGTACTGGGTTCGTACCTGCTCATGTAATTACTCGTTTCATGGATGCTGGGAAGATTAAACATCAAACGAATGATAAAGATGAAAGGCAATGAAACGATACCTGCGGAGAAGAATGGATTTGAAGAATTGGAGGAGAGGTTTTGGAAGGAGGGAGACAGTGAAGTTTGGAGCAACAGAGGCGTTAGAGGCAGCAACTGTTGGAGAAGATCGTTATAGAAGGTATGACGAACTCTACAAGATAGATGATGTTGGGGATGATAACAAATCGAACCTGGGATCCAGAGAACACAAAAAAAATTAGAAAATCGTACAAACAAACTTGATAAAGAAAATAGTAGAAGAAATGATTTCAAAAAACATTAGTACCGAGGGATACTTTCTATGTCAGGTTTTAGAACCTGATTGTAGATGTCGTTTTGAAGTGGAAAGGCAGGTGAAGTATTCATGAACAATGTAGAAAGCGGCTAGGGTTCTCAAATGTGAGAGAGAAAGGAAGGCTTTTGGTTCCAGATGTGCGAAAATTTGATTTCAAAAAGATTTGAATCGGATTATATTGGCAATCCGTGTGAGTCCTCCTTTTTAATCCCCACCATTCAAATAATATTCAACGATTCAGATCTCCTTTCCTTGTTTTTTAAGATAACATGCTTAATTTGTTGTATCTTAGGCTTTAAAATTTGTAGTTAAGAAATTGATTATATATGCTTTATAACATGGTATATATATATATATATATATATATATATATATATATATATATATATATATCCTCCCTAATAAATAAAAAACTTATTGTCACATGTCCTTTTTTATCCAATATGCCACATGTCTTTTTCTTAATTTTTTTTAATTTTCATTTTATTCCATTGGCAAATTCTGATTTTTTTCCTTTTTTTCTTAATATAAAATAATTAAAATTGACTACATTTTAAAAGTTGACTACTTTAATGTTAACATATGTTATATATGTAAGTCATTGATTATAGTTGAAATGTAGAATTACTTGTGAGATGGTTGATTATGAATTCAGAAGCAGAATCATCTGAGGATGATGATGACATCGTATGAGAAAGAAATAAGAAATAGTTTGAATTGGTAGGTATGAAATAATAAAAAGGTTGTATTCTTTTATAGCAAAAATATAAAGTCAAATGAAATTTAAATTATATTCAAATTATATTCAAATGAAATTAAAATTAAAGTAAAATGAAATCCAAATTATATTCGAATGAAATTGAAATTAAAGTAAAATGAAATTGAAATTAAAGGGAAATGAAATCCAAATTAAAGTTAAATGAAATTGAAATTGAAGTCAAATGAAATTGAAATTAAAGTGAAATGAAATCCAAATTAAAGTTAAATGAAATTGAAATTGGAGTGAAATGAAATTAAAATTAGAGTAAAATGTAATTCAAATTAAAGTAAAGTGAAGTTCAAGTTAAAGTCAAATGAAATTCAAATTAAAGGCAAATGCATACAAGATGTT